TAATATTATTGGTCAAAATTTGATTAAATGGCTAAATTGATCTATATTTTGTAATGTAAACGTACTTATATGACATTTTTTAGTATAGGGGCTTAAATGACAGATTGGAAATAGTAGAAAGTCTTATTTGACCCCTTTTCCTATATTTTATTAAAAAATAAAGAAATAAATATATAAAAAAATATCTAGAATGATCAATTACATTGACTTTAAGAAAATAGTAGGTCTTATTTGACCCCATTCAGCCTGAAAAATAAATTAAAACTCTACTTATTTTCATTATTATACAACTCAGCACGTGAAATTAAAAATTACGTGTTTAGTGGGAAAAAAATTTGTTGATAAGGTCGATAAGCCAAAAAACATGATCACCAAAGGAGTCCTTAGATTTCGAAGGCCACAATATCCGATAATGACTTCTTATGCATTATTATTTATAACAATCAAGATCCATTACGGTCTCATATTGGTCTCTTAATAAAGAAATCTATTTTTAGTCATATCACAGGTTAACTTTGAAGAGTCTGATCACATGAAATCTCTTAAATAAAATTTTTGGCTTGGCTCTCTCGAGTACCAAATCACAAGTTCACTTTGAAAGTTATCACCCTAGTGGTGCTTTTGCGTAATATTGATCACTCACTCTTTCTGTGTAACGGGACAAGACTCATCATAGCAAAGATGCGCTTTTGTGTAATATTGACACCATCTGATGTTCAATTTCTATTTATATTTCAAAGGAGACAATTTCATATCACTACAATAAAACCACGGGATTGACAGGGATTTTGGCAGGGATTTTGGCAGGAAAATGCCAAATCTGTGCCAAAAACACTTTGGCACGGGCTATTTGGCATGAAAAATCGGTAAGTCCGTGCCAAATTCCGTGTCAATCCCGTATTTTTTTGTAGTGTATTATGGTTTCTTATGCCTTTGCGGCACTGGGGTAAATGTAAATGAAAATGAAAATGATTATGGTTTCTTATGCAATGACCATCAATGAAAGTCAAGGTCTGTCGCTCACTCACGTTGGTCTCCTACTGAAAAAACCAGTTTTCAGACATGGACAATTATATGTTACTGTGTCAAGAGTTACCAATCATGCAAGTCTCAAAATCCTCATTGAAAATAAAGATGATTGTCCAACGGATGAAACTATGAATGTTGTCTACCAAGAAGTGCTCTATAATCTCTAATGTTTCACATTGTAACATAATCACGTTATATATTACAACAAACTTACATATTACCCTTTTAGTTCTTAATTGTCTAATGTATGATATTTAACTTTATAACCATTTAAATTTTCATGTCTAACAGTGTTTATACCACATCCAAAATTCACACACCGTGCATCGCACGGGTGTAGTACTAGTTTTAATAAAAGTATAAAACTTATCAATTTCATAATATTATTATACTAATCTAAATCACGATCCAAATTTTATCACAATTGACTTGAAAGCAGAGGCGAAGCCAAGGGAGGTCAGGGTGGTCAGCCGACCCTGCTGAAAGTTTGAGAGTATAGAGCTCTAAAATATCTTTGATTTGATATATTATGGCCCTCGTAACTCATTACGGATAAAAAGTTATGACTTCTTCAAAATCAGAACCATCTAAACGTAAAATCAGAAAAATTTGATGCATACTATATACGACAATATTATTTTCCCAAATTCTAAAAATATGGTATAAGTCACTCAATACTTACGTGACACGACTCAGAAACAGAGCAAAAACGATCTATCGTATTGCTACGAGTGCATATTTATCTAAACTGCATATGAAATACTAACTCCGGTCCTAAATAAACTTCACACTTTGACTTCACACAAATTAAGGAAATAAATTTGATTTTACTGTAGAGCACACTGTTGTGACACTGTTTGGCATTGTTTGACATTGTTTGGCACTGTTTTGCACTGTTTTAATGTAGATAATTTGTCAAATAAGGAAGGGAGAAGAAGTGTGAAGTTTATTTTGGACCTACCCAAAATGGAAAGTGTGAAGTTTATTTAGGACCGAATTGAAGGAAGTATTCAACTCGGACATTGTTTAAAAACGATCCACCATTTTCATTCTGTATTTCTGTACATAGGTTGAGATTCAACCCGCTTAAACCGTTTTTCTAGCTCCACTGCTCTCAAAAATGAAGATGATTGTCCAAAGGATGAAATGATGAATGTTGCTTACAAAGAAGTGTTTCATAGTCTGTAATGTTTCACATTGTAACATAATCACATTATATATTACACAAACTTACATATTACCCTTTTAGTTCTTAATTGTCTAATGTATGATATTTAACTTTATAACCAATTAAATTTTCATGTTTAACGGTGTTTGTACCCCATCCAAAAATTCACACACCGTGCATCGCACGGGTGCACATGACAATTAAATTTTTCAAAAACAAATTTTTCAAAAATTCACAAACCGTGCATATAAAAATATTTTCAAAAAATCAAAGATTTTGACTTTGACATTCTAAACTTTTTCACAATTTGTATGTATATATCTTCAAATTGTAATAGTTTTTAGAGTTTTTCAATGTAAAAACCTAATATTATTGGTCAAAATTTGATTAAATGGCTAAATTGATCTCCATTTTTTAATGTAAACATACTTATATGACATTTTTTAGTATAGGGGCTTAAATGACGGATTGGAAATAGTAGAAAGTCTTATTTGACCCCTTTTCCTATATTTTATTAAGAAAATAAAGAAATAAATATATAAAAAAATATCTAGAATGATCAATTACATTGACTTTAAGAAAATAGTAGGTCTTATTTGACCCCATTCAGCCTGAAAAATAAATTAAAACTCTACTTATTTTCATTATTATACAACTCAGCACGTGAAATTAAAAATTACGTGTTTAGTGGGAAACAAATTTGCTGATAAGGTCGATAAGCCAAAAAACATGATCACCAAAGGAGTCCTTAGATTTCGAAGGCCACAATATCCGATAATGACTTCTTATGCATTATTATTTATAACAATCAAGATCCATTACGGTCTCATATTGGTCTCTTAATAAAGAAATCTATTTTTAGTCATATCACAGGTTAACTTTGAAGAGTCTGATCACATGAAATCTCTTAAATAAAATTTTTGGTTTGGCTCTCTGGAGTGCCAAATCACAAGTTCACTTTGAAAGTTGTCACCCCAGTGGTGCTTTTGCGTAATGTTGATCACTCACTCTTTCTGTGTAACGGGACAAGACTCATCATAACAAAGATGCGCTTTTGTGTAATATTGACACCATCTTATGTTCAATTTCTATTTATATTTCAAAGGCGATAATTTCATATCACTACAAAAAAACCACGGGATTGACAGGGATTTTTGCAGGGATTTTTGCAGGAAAATGCCAAATCCGTGCCAAAAACACTTTGGCACGGGCTATTTGGCATGAAAAATCGGTAAGTCCGTGCCAAATTCCGTGCCAATCCCGTATTTTTTTGTAGTGTATTATGGTTTCTTATGCCTTTGCGGCACTGGGGTAAATGTAAATGAAAATGAAAATGATTATGGTTTCTTATGAAATGACCATCAATGAAAGTCAAGGTCTGTCGCTCACTCACGTTGGTCTCCTACTGAAAAAACCAGTTTTCAGTCATGGACAATTATATGTTACTGTGTCAAGAGTTACCAATCATGCAAGTCTCAAAATCCTCATTGAAAATGAAGATGATTGTCCAACGGATGAAACTATGAATGTTGTCTACCAAGAAGTGCTCTATAATCTCTAATGTTTCACATTGTAACATAATCACGTTATATATTACAACAAACTTACATATTACCCTTTTAGTTCTTAATTGTCTAATGTATGATATTTAACTTTATAACCATTTAAATTTTCATGTCTAACAGTGTTTATACCACATCCAAAATTCACACACCGTGCATCGCACGGGTGTAGTACTAGTTTTAATAAAAGTATAAAACTTATCAATTTCATAATATTATTATACTAATCTAAATCACGATCCAAATTTTATCACAATTGACTTGAAAAGCAGAGGCGGAGCCAAGGGGGGTCAGGGTGGTCAGCCGACCCCGCTGAAAGTTTGAGAATATAGAGCTCTGAAATATCTTCGATTTGATATATTATGGCCCTCGTAACTCATTACGGATAAAAAGTTATGACTTCTTCAAAATCAGAACCATCTAAACGTAAAATCAGAAAAATTTGATGCATACTATATACAACAATATTATTTTCCCAAATTCTAAAAATAGGGTATAATTCACTCAATACTTACGTGACACGACTCAGAAACAGAGCAAAAACGATCTATCGTATTGCTACGAGTGCATATTCATCTAAACTGCATATGAAATACTCCCTCCGTTCACACTTTGACTTCACACAAATTAAGGAAATAAATTTGACTTTATTGTAGAGCACACTGTTGTGACACTGTTTTGCACTGTTTTGCACTGTTTTAATGTAGATAATTTGTCAAATGAGGAAGGCAGAAGAAGTGTGAAGTTTATTTTGGACATACCCAAAATGGAAAGTGTGAAGTTTATTTAGGACCGAAGGGAGTATTCAACTCGGACATTATTTAAAAACGATCCACCATTTTCATTCTGTATTTCTGTACATAGGTTGAGATTCAACCCGCTTAAACCGTTTTTCTAGCGAAAAATGATGTTTGTACACACTTTTGTACACACTTGTACACACCTATGTCTGTGAAAGCTTTTTTTTGTCTGTGAACATCGATTCACAGACAATGTTTTGCACAAACAAAATATTGTCTGTGAACCGGATTCACAGACAAAAAAAAAAGCTTCACAAACATGATGTGTACAAGTGTGTGTACAACAAGAATGTTGTTTTCTAGCTCCACTGCTCTCGAAAAGTTAAAGGTGACAAAGTTTGTAGAGACTCAAACCAAAATGTCCCGTGCACTTGATTTCAACTCAAACCAAAATGTCGAATCTGCTGCCTCTCTCTATATAAGTTAAAACTACGTTACAAACTGAAATCACGTACAAAAGAAAAAAATATACTCCGATCCATATTTTGGTTGAACTATTCTTATTTTAATTAATAATAAGTGGTGTCAATCGATCAAAGAATTGATCGAATGGATTCATTCAACGCCATGCCCTCCATTCCGGTAGGAGCTTGCGGCACAACTGCTGCAGCTATTCTAATATTGTCAACCACCCTTCTTCTTTGCCGCACTTTATTTAAAAAAGGGTCAAGGCAAAAACTACCGCCACCGGAGGTCGGCGGCGCATGGCCTATAATCGGTCATCTCCGCCTCCTCATCGTCGACCCTCGACCACTTCACCTAGTCCTGGGTGACCTGGCGGACAAATACGGGCCCATGTTCCAAATGAGGCTCGGGGCACAGAAAGTTTTGGTCGTGAGTGACTCACAGATTGCAAAAGAAATCTTCACCGTAAAAGACCGCGCCTTCGGCGGCCGGCCGGCGAGCATAGCTATGGAGGTCTTGGGGTACAACTACGCCATCTATATTTTCAGCCCGGACCTCGCATACTGGCGTGATCTCCGGAAGGTGGTAATGGTAGAGCTACTGTCCACCCACCGCCTTAATGGGCTGAGGCATTTCTGGGAGTCAGGGCTTACGTCACTCACGGAAGACATCTACCGCACTTGGCTGCGGGAGACGATCTATGTATGGATTATGGTGGACCTAAGGCTAGAATAACCTAATTTTTTTGGTGTGAGATTTTTCACCATGTTGTTTAACCTTGGTATAATTGTACGTTTTCAGTCGAGAGCATCCCAAAATCCTGGATCCGCCTTTGCTCGGCCGGAAAACACCGAGGAATACGTGAAGGTTGAGATGATAGATTTAATCAGTAGACACTTACTGGACATACTGACACGGATGTTGTTCGGGCAGCCGTCCGGGGAAGAAGGGAGTAAGACGGGAGCGAAATTGAGGAAATTCTTTGATTTGTTGGCAGTGCCAATGGTGGGTGACGCTGTTCCATGGCTGAGATGGTTGGACATTGGAGGGCACGAGAAAGCCATGAGGGAGACGGCCAGAGAGTTGGACGAAATGGTGGAAGGCTGGCTTCAACAGCACAAAATGAAAAGACAGCAGAATCAGTCTAAGGGTAGTGAAGAAGAAGTCAAAGACTTCATGGATGCACTCATTACTCGTTTTGAGAGTGAAAAGGATTCTATACAATCAGATTGTGACACCGACACCATTGTCAAATCTACTTGCTTGGTATGTCACTAATAACCACTTTAATAATTAATTCGCTCTAGCTATCGCCACTGCCTTTAAATAGCTTAGTACTTCATGATTAACCATTGCATTAATGATTTTAGAATTTTTTGTGAGTGAAATTTACAATTTTTACACTCTTATGAAAGTATTTTTAACTACTTAGTAGTATTTCTATATAATTTACATATTTTGAATATGAGGATTTTTCAAAAATATAACTGGAATAAATTTTATTAACAAAAATATAAATAATAGTTACTGTGCAAGTTTATCTACATATGACTAAAACAGTGATGACAAACTTTTTATATATGTCAAAATTGCTCTAAATAGGACTTAAACTTTGACATATGAGAAAATTCGACATATGAGAAAATTTAGGGGTGGGAAAACCCAATAAGAAACCCGGAAACCGGCTCTGGCCCGGCCCGAATTATAATATCGGTCTTGGTTTTTTCTTTTTGACCAGCCCAAATAAAAAAAACCGGACCGAACCCGAAACTTCGGGCTCTTTAACGGGCCCTAAAATCTATAACACCGGTCGGACCGATAAAACCCGAAACAATTAGCCTTAATATAAAATCAATATAATATACCAATATAATTTATAAATTAATTCCTAATTTATGATTATAATCATGATGGACGAAAAAATGACTTGATAACTTTTAGTGACTACAAATATGTTCAATTTATTTACCGTAATGACCATGAAAACATATTTATAGTAACTTTAGTTACATTTTTATCCATAAATTTTATTTCATAACATTTTTTAGAACACATATATTACTTATTTTTATGCATCTTAAACAAAATATTATGATAATTGTCTTCTTAGGATTTGAATTCTTGGTGATTTTGGAGACTAATATTTGTGATTTTTATTAATTTTATTTGTGGTTTGTACTTTTTATTAATTTTTTTTAAAATAAATTTTAAAATATAAAAGAAAAATGAGTGATTTCACATTCGGGCTTTAACCGACCCAACCCGAACCTGGACCGAACCCGGGCTACAAAAAACCCGACTCGGACCGAATATAGTGGGCTTTTTTCGGTCCCTAATTTTCATAACCCGATGTCTTACGGGTAATTTACGGGTTTAGCAAAAATCTGACCCAGACCGGACCGATCCCACCCCTAAAAAAATTCCTTATATAGGACTAAAACATAAATAAAGTGCATATATAGGACTATCATTGTTTTCTTCCTAAAATAAGACTTATTCACGCCTAATAGGGGAGGTTTTATACTTCTAATAGGATCAAATAAATCTCATTAACATGTATGAGAAAGCTCTAAATAGGACTTAAACTTTGACAAAATGCACAAATAGGATCACATGTACTCCGTATTTTATTACAGAAATAGGATTTATTTGATCCTATTAAAAGTATAAAACTTCCCCTATTAGGCGTGAATATGTCTTATTTTAGGAATAAAACAATGATAGTCATATATATGCACTTTATTTATGTTTTAGTCCTACAACAGAAATTTTCTCTTATCTCTGACTAACAAATTTGAGTATGATGTTATATGAGTAATACGAAGTACTACATAGTTAAATTGAAGGGAAATGAAAATAGCATCAAAATAAGTGTCATACTTGCATTATGATAATAATAAAAACTATTTACTCTTATTTTAGGAATCACCTTGTATTTTATTAGTCTTATTGCTAGCAATTTTCTCCAGACTCCAGTTATCATAATCTCATAATCACTTAAGTGTAAAGATCAAACATGTGTAAAAACTAAGCATAAACTTTCTCGAGGTAATATAATCCATCAATCTTGAGCCAAATATTTTTGTGAGCAATTAGTCGTTAGATTCCTGTGTTTTTAGTTTCTGCTTTCCCTTTGTCTAGCACTAAATCTTTGTGAAAAACAGCCTTAGTTCTACACACAATCCACCATCATAAATGTTTTCCTATATATATATACATATATATGTATATATATATGTGTGTGTGTGTATATATATATATATATATATATATATATATATATATATATATATACACTTCCTCCGTTTCTTTTTAGTTGCAACAGTCAACATTTCACGTTTGCCAACGCACAATTTTGACCGTCATTATATTTAATTCTGTATTAGTAAAAATAAAATAAAAATCAGATTATAAAACTTAGTGATGAGACGAATTTAACAATATTTTTCAAAAAAAATAATTCACATACATTAATAAATAAAATGTAGTCAAAGTAAAATACATGAATAGTGTATATATTCCAATGCTGCAATTAATGAGATACGGAGGATAGTATATATAAAAGATAGGTCGTCTAAAAGTTACAATTTTAGACCTCCTTCAGTTATGGTACTTCTCGGACTGATTTTTTTATGAAATTTTATGAGAATGTTCTCCATGAAGTGTATATTATGTTCTCCTTATTAGTGATGAATTTCTCTTTATATGTATTGTACTGTAAATTTGTTCGTTTCTTGTTCGATGATGCTAGGCTATCCTGGCAGGAGCTAGTGATACAACAACGATAACATTAGTTTGGGCAATATCTTTACTATTAAACCATGAGAGCTGCTTAGAAAAGGTGAAAGCGGAGGTAGACATGCAAGTGGGTAGAGAAAGGAACGTCAACCCCTCCGACCTAAACAACTTGACATATCTGCATGCTGTCATCAAAGAAACCCTACGTTTATATCCAGCGGGCCCTCTTTCACTGCCACACGAGGCCGTAGAAGATTGCACGGTCAATGGCTACGATGTCTCGAAAGGCACCCGTTTGTTGGTGAATCTCCCAAAGATGCACAGAGACCCGAACATTTGGAAGGACTCGATCGAGTTTAGGCCGGAGAGGTTCTTGGATGAGAAAAAGGACACAGGTGTGAAGGGGAACCATTTTGAGCTACTCCCTTTTGGGAGTGGGAGGAGGGTGTGTCAAGGGATGTCATTGGCTCAACAGGTTGTTGGGTTGGGGATGGCTAAGCTTGTCCATGGTTTTCACCTGAAAAGGGTTTCAGAAGAGGCGGTCGACATGACGGAGTGTAGCGCCACATTAACAAGCATGAAGGCTACTCCGCTCCATGTTCTCCTTTCTCCTCGCCTACCTTCACATCTTTATCAAAGCTAGTTAGCTAGCTGCGGTCGTCAGCTAGCTAACAAGCCTATAAAACTACGCTGTATTTGAGTTGTTGATTGCACACTTTTGCGTCCTTTGTTTATTTCTCCTCCCTGGCTCGCTGTACTCATTATTATTATAATAAATTAAAAAACCGCCTAGGTCAAAGCTGAAAGAGAGAGGAGTGGTTGTGGGTAAACCCTGGCGGCCGCTTCTTCTTTTCTTCTCTTCTTTCATTCTTTTCTGGCTCCAATCATGAAAAAGGTTTTGTTTAATTAATATTTTCAGTTTTATCCATGCACTTATTTACTAGAGTTCTCTAGAAATGTTAATTTTTGTAGCAGAATGTCGCTTGCCAGATGCATATTATTCACCATCATTGGTTGAGTGTTCTTTGTGTGCTAGCTAGTAAGAACTTTGCACTAGCTAGCTTGTTCATTAGACATAAATTTGGATTCCTTATGCACCAATATTGAGGCTAATCACCCCGCCCCCTAGCCTCCTGAACCACCTTCGATCCTGGAAGATAGGATTTCATAGATTTGTTGCTTTCTTTTCGATGATTGGTGAAATCAGAACAATTTTTACACTTGACTCCTTACTGGTGACTGGAAAAATCGGCAAGTTTAATAATTCTTTACGTTGGCTACACTACAAAAAAACTCGCTCTTTGTCACGAATTTTTGTCACGGATTACGGCCGTGACAAAGTTGTCACGGGCTTTGTCACGGAATATTAGGATTTGTCACGAAAATGTGTTGTCACGGATAGGTCCGTGACAAAATCCGTGACAAATTTACTCCGGCGACCGGTTTTTTACTCCGGTGAATACTTTTTTTGCTCCCGAGCATTTGTCACGGACTGTTCCGTGACAAATCCGTGACAAATTTCAAAAAAACTTTGTCACGGATCCATCCGTGACAAAATCCGTGACAAACCTCAATTAGTGATTTTCCAGCGGTAACCTTTAATAATACGGTACGGAAAAAGAGTTGTCACGGATAAATCCGTGACAAATCCGTGACAAACTTTTTAATATAACCCAACCCCATCGTCCATTACAATTGCAAGAACAACAATTATCAGTTCAAAAATTCGTAGATTCGAGTGATGTAGTATCGGTTTAAAGATTGAATGATGTAATCCGTCAGTTCATCATTTTCCCAGTTTATGCAGATAAGGTATGTCATTTTAATTAATTTCTTTTAATTGTGTAATAAATTAATTATTAGCTTAATAATTAATTAGTGAGGTTAGGATTCTTTTTTCTTTATATAATAATAATTAATTATTAGCTTAATAATTAATTAGTGAGGTTAGTTGTTCATTTATTTAAACTATTAACGTAATTTAGTGAGGTCATGTTAATTTTCATATTATTAAAAATATATTATTAAACTATTAACGTAATTTAATTAGTTAAATTTAAATATAAATATTAATTAGTTAATGTGATGCATAATATAGCTAGGATTAGGCCGGTTTGTTTAATTAATTAGTTAAATGAGTTTATATCACCAATGATTAGGCCGGTTTGTTTATTAGCAATTATTGTTATTAATGCATAATTTAGGATGTGTAGTGATGATTTAAGTATTAGCTAGCTTATTATAGATTAATTAATTAGTGACTTGTAGTGATTTAATTAAGTTAGCTAGCTTATTAGTTAGGTTATTAATTATCACCAATTATTATTTATTAGCAATTATTGTTAATGGGATGCATAATATAGCTAGGATTGAAACTTTATTATTATTTAGTTTAGTGTGAATTATTATTGTGAATTATTAATGAGATAATATTTAACAATAATATTAGTTAAATGTAAATTAATTAACTAATTAATTAAGTTAAAACATTGAGGAAATGGGTTTAGAATTTGAGTTGATAATATTAGTTAGATTTAAATATTAGTTAATTGATCAATGATGATGATTAGGTTTAATTTGTTTATTAATTAGTTAATTATTGTTAATGCATAATTTAGGATTTGTAGTGATTTAAGTTAGGATTCAAACTTTATTAGTTAATTGTGAATTATATATTATTGTGAATTAATGATATTTAACAATATTAGTTAAATGGAAATTAACTAATTAATAAGTTAAATTAGTTAATTATTGTTAATGGGATGCATAATATATATAGCTAGGATTGAAACTTTATTATTATTTAGTTTAGTTTGACAAATCCGTGACAAACTTTTTTATATAACCCAACCCCATCGTCCATTACAATTGCAAGAACAACAATTATCAGTTCAAAAATTCGTAGATTCGAGTGATGTAGTATCGGTTTAAAGATTGAATGATGTAATCCGTCAGTTCATCATTTTCCCAGTTTATGCAGATAAGGTATGTCATTTTAACTAATTTCTTTTAATTGTGTAATAAATTAATTATTAGCTTAATAATTAATTAGTGAGGTTAGGATTCTTTTTTCTTTATATAATAATAATTAATTATTAGCTTAATAATTAATTAGTGAGGTTAGTTGTTCATTTATTTAAACTATTAACGTAATTTAGTGAGGTCATGTTAATTTTCATATTATTAACAATATATTATTAAACTATTAACGTAATTTAATTAGTTAAATTTAAATATAAATATTAATTAGTTAATGTGATGCATAATATAGCTAGGATTAGGCCGGTTTGTTTAATTAATTAGTTAAATGAGTTTATATCACCAATGATTAGGCCGGTTTGTTTATTAGCAATTATTGTTATTATTAGCATTTGTCACGGATTTTTTGAACTACCGTCCGTGACAAAATCCGTGAAAAAGGGCGAGTTTTTTTGTAGTGCTAGTCAAACCAGAACAATTTCGAGCAGCATGAACAGTCACATTGAGGTATGAGTCTACATGATTGCAGGATTAGCGAACATGAGCACCTTTATAGGGTTTTTTTTCTTTGTCTCACATTAGTGTAACATTGAACTATATGATTGAGAAAACTGACCTTTTTAGCAATTGGTCTAGATTGCTAAAGTTCCAAAAGGTATAACCCCAACCCCAAGGTCCTCCACGCCTCGAGCCGACGAGGCATTTGAGAGATTGTAATTCACGGTAGGTCAGTCAATCCAATAGTGGTAAACCTAAACATTTGCGCACCAGAGGTCTAGCGCAACACACGGGAGTTGTAACCTCCACATGGCCGCAGCGGGTTTCGATCATTGGTCAATGTTCCTAATTTCCCATGCGGGTATTGGTCTAGCTAGTTAACTAAAGATATAAGGGGGGATTCCCCAAATAGGAATAAATGAAACTGTTAGGAATATTTTATGGTGTCCAATCTAATTAAATATCTTTGTATTTGTGTAGTTATTAATTAAACGTGTAATACGGGCCACAAATGTGTATCAGCCCGGGAGCTTCCTTGTAACCCGTAAGTTAGCTAACTTCTCCTATAAAAGGAGGCTAACTTACGGGAACCCTAACAATCGAAAGAGGCTGAGAGCGCAAGAGGCGAGATAGAGAGAAGGGTTTCCGCTGCTCTCCTTCTCCAGGGAGAGCAGCGGGGTTTCATACGGTATACCAGATTCGTGTATAATATCGACATATCTTTCTATCTGCTTCTTCTTAATTGCTATGGTTGTTTGATTCTTTAGTATTTTGGGATTATCAATTGGTATCAGAGCAGAGGCGTGAAACAGGTTGGATCTATCTGCGATTTTTTTGGATCTAACGAAGAACTGCTCTGCTTTTCTTTTGTTTTTCTATATGTAGAGATTTGCTCCTGTAATCTTGTTTGTGAACGAAATTTTGTAAAAATCATACTGTTGGACTCGCCTTTCAAAACCGATCCAGCAGCATACCTCTTTTTTCGTTTTCTGCAATTTTTATATTTCGAAGATCTCTACATTGAGATCTCGAAATCCTTATTTTTTACTGCTGCAGAAACGTTTTTGGCTTGAAATTGTTACAGGAGAATCTTGACCTTCAGGGCTTTTCAGAACAGGTTTCAGATTTTCAAAAATCGATGTTTTCATTTTGCAGGATCTCGACATTTAGGGACTTGATATCCTCTTCTCGACTTTTGAAATCTCGAGATTTGACATCTCGACTTTTGTCATCTCGAGTTTTGTCATCTCGAGATTTGTCATCTCGAGTTTTGACATCTCGAGTTTTGACATCTCGAGTTTTGAAATCTCGAGTTTGAAACCTCGAGTTTTGGAATTTCGAGTTTTGGTAATTCGACATTTGGGATCTCGATGTTTTAGATCTCGACATTCTGAAGATTTCGAGATTTTCAAAATTTCTCGATGTTTTGAATTTAGCAAAGTTTGGAGTTTCTTGAATCACTGATTTCTTCTAAACTTGGTATCTTTCCTGTTCAGAACACTTCGAAGCTTTACATTTTTAGATATCTGAATGAATCTCTGCCTATCAAAGTTTTTAGAAGTTTTCGATGTTCTGATGTTTTTCAAACAGCAAGTTTTCGATTTTCTAATGTTTTCAAAACTCCAAAGTTTTCGATGTTCCAAACGTTTTGAAATTATGCAGATTTCGATATTCTGAGGTTTGTTTTGCAGGTGGATTTCGCCATTATTCTTTGAGGTAATCTCGAGATTTAAACCTCGAGATTGTAATCTCGAGATGTAAACCTCGAGATTGTAATCTCGAGATTTAAACCTCGAGATTGTAATCTCGAGATTGTAATCTCGAGATTTAAACCTCGAGATTAGGATTTCGAGGTATTGCCTTGGAATTTTGTTTAAAATCCACCTGCTCTCGATATTCAACATCGAGAACCTCAACTTCGAAGAAATTCCTCAAAAACTCAAAATTAGAGATTTTCTGCGACACCGCACTGTTTTGGCCATAACTTTTGACTCGGTGATCCGATTTGAGCAAACTTTTTTTTTGTTGGAAAGCTAACGAAAAGATATACATTAATTCTCGGGCTATGTTCCAGAACTCATTTTCACGCGCCCTCACTCGCAGCCCTTGAAGGACAAAACCTTAGTTTTCCGACAAACATTGTAAATCACCGATGTCCAGGTCAAAACTTAGGCAAATCTGTTCAAATTCTTTCAATGTCAACCCTGAGGTCAAAGCTTTTCTAAACTTCACTGTAGAGGTCCGAAAATCGTAGATAATTCAATCAACCTCGCGTCA